CCACTCGCGGCCACCGCAGCCTCGACCTGCTGGGCTCCGGCGATCCTTTCACTCAGCCTTCCAAGTAGCCAGAATTAACAGGCATGCACTACCATGCCCGGCTGATTTTTTGATTTATTGTAGAGATGAGGTCTCGCTGCCCAGGCGGGTCTCGAACCCGTGGGCTCAGGCAATCCACTCACCTCAGCCTCCCAAAGGCGCGGGATTACAGGCTGAGCCACCGAGCCCGGCTAGCATTTCACTATTAAATGGTTGTCTTCTTAGGTTGATTACTGATTTCACCTGTGAAACTGACTTTGAGAGTATATGTATAGCTGAAATTTTTCAATCCCTCCCACCCTTTTCGGGGAAAATTAAGCAACAATAGTTTAAGGAGTACACTAGAATGTATTGGCAATAGGATGAATGTGAGTACAAATACTTTTTCTTTTTTCCACTCTAGAATGGTTGGTATATTTGTCACTTATAGTCTTTATTTTATATTTTGTCAAAACATTATAGCTGCCGGAGTTCAGCAGGTTGAGACTGCAGTTGCCATGAGTGTGCCACTGCACTCTAGCCTGGGTGGTGACAGAGTGAGACTACAACTCAAAAAAAGAAAAAAAATATATATATATGTATATAGCTGTGAAGGGTACATTTTTACCCAAATTATAAAGTAATATTCTGTGATTTTATATAATAGTATGCATTAAAGAAATCATATAGATTATTAACTAAAGCAAATATTAAAGGAAATATCCAAATGCTAACTTATAAATATCTGTAATTTCTTTTCAGACATTAATCTTGAATTGATACTCTTAGAAAAAGGAAAGTGTATTGTAACAGTTTGATAAACTTACAAATAAAAAAAGTTATTCCAGTGATTAAAGGGCAGTCTGGGAAACTAATTACTATTTTGACACCAGACACAATGAGAAAAAATGCAGTTCTTAAATATACATCAAAATTCCCTACTTTTTAAAAAAATTCATGTATACTTAAGATAAAAAACTGAAAGTTGATAGACTGAATGTGTGTGTGTATTAGACTTGGTAGAAAAACTGAAATTTTCTTCATAAAGTAAGACCAATATCATTAAAAAAAAATATTTTGACATAGCTAATTAAACTCAACATTAGGTTTGGGCTGAAAATATCTAAATTGTTTTAAAATATGCAAAATCCCACCAATCTAAAATTTTCCCCAATATTGTTAACTCATTATCTTCTTATGCATTAAATTGTGTCTTTCGGGACAGATGGAAAATATGTTGTTATGTGTGCCATTGCATTCTGTTTCTCAAATATTGTGCTGGATTGAATTTATATAATTTGGAATGTGAATGTGTCTTTTAAAAAATAATTAATTAATTAATATGGCAGCATTGTTTCATTTGAAGGATATTTATGAGTGAAAAGCTAAGTGGTTAAAACGATGTACCTTTAGGAGTATCATATTATAAGTAAATATGATATATTAAGATTTGAACTTATGCTTTTCTGGAAGTTAAAATTTAATGCACTTACTACTTCCAGATGCCTCAGTGTTGCAGAACTTTCAGGATGAAATTGAATCCCGTTGCTTTAAGTACTATCCTCATGCTGATGCCACTCAAACTAATCTGTCCACCCCTGTGTGGCCCCCTGGATCCCTGCTGGAAGCCCTCCTTCGCCCCCAGCCCTCCAATCCTTCTCTTTCCTGGCCCTCTATACTTCCCTGCTTTGCAACTCCTCCCTCCCTTCATATCTTATACCTTGTGATATGTGGTCAGATTCTGGATTTAAGTGCTTAGGAATTTTCTCTATTTTTTTCTTTCTTTTGCAATTACAATGATCTTTCAATTTTCCTTTAAGATTAAATTTTAAGGATAATTTGTTCTGTAGAGTTAATTTGCAGCCAGTCTTGATTGTCATCTAGTAGTAAACACAACTATTGAGGGAATAGTGATGGTATTTTAACTTTTTCTGTTTTATCATTTTAAGAATGCAGGACAGGTGTGGTGACTAATACACTTGTAATCCCAGCACTTTGGGAGGCTAAGGTGGGTAGTTTGCTTGAGCCTAGGAGTTTGAGACCAGCCTGGGCAACATAGCAAGACCCCTTCTCTACAAAAAAAAAAAATTAAAAAATTAGCCAGGCACAGTGGCATGTGCCTGTAGTCCAAGCTACTCAGGAGGCTGAAGAGAGATGATCATTTGAGCCCAGGAGGTTGAGGCTGTGGTGAACCATGCTTAGCCCCTGCACTCCTGCCTGGGCAATAGAGTGAGACTGTGACTCAACAAAACAAAACAAAAAGAATGCTTTCCCTTCCTTATTTATAAATCCCTTTGCAAACATAGTGTTACTTTAATATACAAGGTATTCGCAGATGCACTTTAATTCATGTATAGATAAGCATTTGAAATCAGAATCATATTAATAAAAAAAATCTATGCTACCAACCAAGCTATTGATTGAAATATTTTTTTCCGTTTTATGTCAGTGTTGGGCTTTCCTCTTTCCTCTTCTCTTTTTTGATTTGAAGTTGTTGCCGTGAGCCAGATCCCTGGTTCCTCCTCAGAAAGAATTACTCCGTTTACTTTACATCTTTATGAATGCTTAGTTGTGTAACTGTCCATAAAAGATTCTTTTTTGAAACATCTGGGGACCAAATCACTACAGATGACTATTACTTGAGGATATAGAGGACATGCATTCCAGGCAGTGTTGTCATTTATAGAGAAATAACAGAGCAGGAAAAAGAATTGATACCACGTTTGAGGTTACTGAGTATCTTAGATGCCAGAATAGAATAAAGTGAGTTCTTAAAGAGCTCTACACCCATCTGTAGAAACTTATGTGGACTGTTTTTGCATCATGCATTTGTTTCTTGTGTTTGCTTTTGATCAGATGTAGATTTCCAAGTCAAAGATGCCACTTTCAGCAATTGCTTTTCACCAGGTTTAAGAGAATATTTTATGAACATGTCTTAAACCTTTCAATTTAATACGCTCAAAGTATAGCAATGTAAATTATCCTTTGTACTTTAAATCTTGCAAACATGGCCTTGTTTGTCAGTTTTTAAACTATGATGGATGTTGCCAAGAAGCGTGACTATGAACATAAAGAAGAGTAGTTGTTTATGGTGAGATTATTAAGTAGATGACTGTGGCTTATCAATCTTTAGTCCTAAAAGATCTCCCTCCCCTCATGCAGATCTTCCCTCCTTGAGCATCTCAAGTGTTCAGCACTCAGTGCTACAAAAGTATTGATTGTTTGTTTCATAAGATGAACTTCAAGTCTTGTTGGTTTTTATGTTTGTTTTGCCAAAAGAAAAATGGGTACTTAGGACACTTTCCAGAAGAGTTTTCTCTGGCAAATTCTAATTTAAAATGAATAAAACAATTTGATTCAAAATATTAATCCTGACCTAAACTACTACTGACTGCAGGAGACATTTGGCCCTTGCTTAAAGAAGCCAACATCCATTTTGTTAATTATTTATTTTTATCACAAAAGAAAGAAAACTCATTTTGTATATATTGACAAGTTAGAATTTTTTGTTATCAACAGGTTTGGCAAACATCGAAAAGATGACAAGATTGAGAAAACGGGTAAAATAAAAATGCAGGAATCCTTTACATCAGAAGAGGAGAGGATACGAATGAAGCAGGAACAGGAGAGGTAGACTTCAGCTATTTAACTAAACCTCATTAGAAAGAGGTTCCTTTTTTCCTTTCTGCCTTTTAAAAAAATGTAAATATTTTACACTTAATTACTTTTTATACTTTCTTTATTAATCCAAATACTAATGGTTGTGGTGTATACATTGTAAAGAAAGATAAAAGAAAAAAGACCTTTATATTTATTTGAGGCATCATAGTGGATTTTAGTGGTTTGTGTTGTGATCTTTCACAGAGGCGTTAGAACAGCATATTAGATGATTAAATAGACACTGAGTTTATGATTATTTCTGAAACATAGGAAATATTTAAAATCCTGCCACATTTATCCATGAGTAGATAGTATATTGTAATAATTTTTAAGAAACACTCATCTGAAAATAAAACTCTTTGGATTTTTTTATATCTCATTTAAAATATCTTGATTTATAAGAATTTAGGGAGCTGGTAGTTTTCACTATGTTGTTTTTCTTTCAGAACTGACATTTATTTCTTGATCCTCCTTAGTGACATTTTCTACTTAAATTTTATTCCTTGTCTTCCAGAAAGATTATCTATTGTTGAATCTTTCCATATTGAGAACCCAAAGACCAATAAAATAAATGAAAAGAGTTACTGTAAGCAGACACTTGAAAAGCGTTTTTATAAGTAATTAGAATTTCTCTCATTGTAATTCCAGGGGATGAGAAAGCCATCTCACAAGTTGATATTAGGGTTGGCAGGTTCACAGTGAGCTTCTCTGTATCATCACATTTCATTTTCCAAGTAGCTCCAGCAAGAGGTACTATGCCTCTTTTACTTGGAGTGATCTGGGATTTAAGTGAGTTTCTGGTAACTTGTTCAAGGTTCTAGAGTAAAATATTGTTCATAGATAGAACCGTGTAGTCCAGCATCTTTGAGATCAAGTCCAAAATTCTTACCATAATTCTAAAGTTGGGATACTTTTAGTCTTAAACTTAATGAATGAAAGAACTAAAAATAGCAACACAACAGCTTTCTTTAAAAGAGATTGGTAGATGGAAGCAGTGGCTTTGTAATCCCAGTTACTGAGACCACCAACCTGGGTAACACAGTTGGACCCTGTCTTAATGTTTTTGGAGAGCGGGGAGGGATTGGTGTTTGGATATTTTTCCACTTATCTTTGTAACACCTCTGAAGTTTTCCAAGTATAATGGATACTCATTCTCTGTAGCTTTTTGGAGTATAAAATATATGAGGAAAATATGAATTTTTAATTTATCAAGCAAGTCTAGTTTTTTTCTCCTTGTTCTTCCTCAGTTTTTATTTTTATAAACAATTCCACCTTGCTCTGTAGAGCTCAAATCCTCATCAATTTTGGGCTTGCCAAACTTATTAATAAATTCACTATTTTCAGGTCAGGGCATACACAGTTCCTTAATGTGCATAATAAGGCATTTAATTGCTCAGAAGCGTAAACTTTCCTAAAAGAGATTCTTGTCCCTAAAGGAAGAGAAGATACCAGGTAAATGTATGAACTCAAATTCATCCACCGGCAAATATGTAATTTAGTTAGAGAGCAATCTGAGCGATAGAAACACTATACTTCTCCCGTGTTTTGATACCCGCCAAAGGGGATAACTTCATTAATTCTGTGCCATTTTTCATATTCTAAATATTTCTGCTTTGCAGTTTAAGGTGACTGCTGCGTTTCAATGCAGAATTCTATCAACATTTCCCAAAATGCTTTTATAATGCATAGTCAAATATTTCCAGCCAAACAATGATTTTTACATAATGGTTTCACTTGTATTATTAATTTGCCTAAGGCACAGTTCACGTCTCAGTTTTGCTTTTAATTTCCATTTCTGTACCTTTAATGATGCAATACTTCTGGGAACTAGGTTGGTCATAATGAATTTACAATGTACAGGAGGCCTATAATAGAAATCCTGTAGGGTCAAGGAACAAGTGAATGGTCCATTTAAAAAATCAATTAGGCTCATAATTTAAGAAAATTATTATATTTTGACTTTGTATTTCAATAACAATTCTTTTTCTAGTATGTTTTATTTAAGCTCATGGATTTTATAATAAAGCAAGCGAATGCAGTAGACTGAACTGCATAAGTGGAGTGGTGTGGTGAGGGCTTGATATTTGGATAGGGCAAGCCTCCTTTCAATTCTGTCTGTGATCTTGGCAGTGTTCTTTCTGAGAATGAAAACTACAACTTCCTTGGGAAAAATTTGATTGGAGAAATAGATAAAAGTAAATAGATCACTGCTTATATTCTTCTTACAGCCTTCACCTCATGGCTGGCCAGTAGTAACTTATCTGCCCAAGCATTATTTACCACTGTAGCTATGAGTTCCAAAAATTATTTTGACCAATCCTATATAAAAACAGAAAACCTGACATTCCTTAGTTATAAGTTAAGACACATTTGTAAACCAAAACATTTTTTTCTCATACACATCTATGAAAATGAAATATTGCCCAAGATATAAATATTGAACAATTAAAAGGACAATGAATATAATTTTAAGTGTTTTTCTCACGGTGTTAAGATATATTTAGATGGCGACAATATAGTGGGTTCTCCTGAGCATGGGTCTAAGATTGAATTTGACTTCATTCTTACTAACTTCCTTTCCTTTCCATCTGCTTGCTGCCAACACTGGGGAACTGGGTCTTGAATAAATGTTGTCCAAGTGGGAGAAGTGAACGAGGAAGATCACCATGTGTATCTGTCCTATGCTCCACTTGTCCTGCCCTGCATAGACTCGAGGCCGCATGACTAGGGTCTTCTTGAGCAGCAGAAAGTCTGAGCATGATGCCAAGAGTGAAGTTACTGGCCGTCTGCCAAGCTATTTGGACTTCTTGTCATGATCTCTGAACCTAGGTACCCTAGCCTTTCGGAGATGCTGCTGGCTACCTTGGGCATGGGCTGGGCAACTAAGCAAGCATGTGCATTCAGTGCTTACTGCCCCTCACTGGTGTGTCTTTTGGGTATGCCTAGGAACAGCTGCTTTCTGTTGGCTCCTTTCTACCATGAAAGGTTTGGACTCTAAACTCAGAATAAACCATGTTTAAGTAAATGCTCTAGGCAGCTTCAGGTCATCCTCATGCCCCTCATGAAACACAGTGATAGATTTCTCTGTTGCCCAAGCATCAGAAGTAACATTTTGGCTTTCTATTGTGTTTTGCTTTAGCGATACCTCCCTTTTTGTTTAAATGTTCATATACAAAAAGTGTGGTACAGGGTTTCCCAGACAGTGTTCAGCATCAGAGAAAGGGTTCCATGTACAAATGTATCTGAGAAACACTTGTTTAACTCAATTGTTGCATGTTTTTCTACTCCTTTATTTCTCAAAGCTCTAGGTTCATGCACATTGTGAACCACTGAGGTAGGAATAGAAATCATCATTCTCTAAACTTATTTATTCATAAAACCTCCTCCCAATTCCTTACTTCTTGTTTTTCATGGAATACTAACATCTTGGAATTCAGCAAGTCATCGAGGCAATACGGATGGCAAGCTAAGGCCATTGGCTTCTGGTTTCACCATATCCAGTTTATTCATCGAACTGGCTGGAGAAACCAGTTGCTTACTGTGAGTAAGGGTTATGACTTTCTTCTACTTCATGGCTTCTGCTCTGTGTACTTATGAATCTTATGACTGCTCTTTCTTTTTCATTTTTTTCTTTCCCACGTTTCTCACCTGTTTAAAATATGTACCTTTTAAAGCTCTGATTCTAAGTTTATTTTAATACTAAAAACTACAAAAAATTTTGTGGGAACCCTGTAAAATTAAAATTAGAATATGAAAACATATCTGTATTAATACCACTATGTATGTACTGGTCTATGCCATTTTATTTTTTATTTTTTATTTTTTTTGAGTTGGAGTCTTACTCTATCACCCAGACTGGAGTGCAGTGGCCGCTCCCGGCCACCGCAGCCTCAACCCGCTGGGCTCTGAGTAGCCGGAATTACAGGCGTGCGCTACCATGCCCGGCTGATTTTTTTTTAATTTATTTATTGTAGAGATGAGGTCTCGCTGCCCAGGCGGGTCTCGAACCCGTGGGCTCAGGCAATCCACTTACCTCAGCCTCCCAAAGGCGCGGGATTACAGGCTGAGCCACTGAGCCCGGCTGGTCTATGCCATTTTAATAATTTTCTTTATAAAGTAGGTATTTCCACATATACATACTTAAAAAGAAGTTGACATCTATTTTCATTTTGATTTATTTTGTATTTGTGTGCATTCTTAGAAAATCGTGTTAAATCTTTTCTAAAGTAAAGCCAGTCTATATGAACAGAAAGATGGGTGGGAAGGAAGAACAGAAGGAAGGAAAGACGGTCTGAAACATAAAATACTATCATATCTTGTCAAATTTTGCAACTTTCAAATTATATTTACCTTATGTGCTATTCATTCTGTTAAATGAGATTTATAATGTTAATTGACTTGTATTCTGTCGGCAAATGAAAGCCATTACGATGTCATTATCTGTATCTACATAGTGCGTTGTGCTTAGAAATGTTTCCAAGGATACTGAATGCTTCCAGTGGAGATATGAAAAAGTTAATGAATTTCTCATGAAATCCTCCCAGTATGTAAGGGGTACTTATAAATCTAAGGAAGTATATGATTTGAAATTTTCCATTTTTCAGTGTTATAATTACCCTTCAAGGCCTTGTATTTTCAGTACTAGACCTCTGAAATATGTATGTCCTTGTGAGGTATTCTCCCAGTTCTTGGTGTGTCATTTTGCAAGTTTATGTGGCATTTTTATTGTGCAGGTTAACAAGAATTTTTAAAAATATGTTAATTTGTTTTATGGAAGCGTATTACTTATATGACTACTTGGAGAAATTAAGCATTGGGCATATCATGCATTTGAAACTGATTTTATTGACAGAGATGGAAAATAAAGTAGGAATGTACATTTGATTTCTGATGAGAGCTGTCCTAGATATAGTTGGCATTGGACCATCTCTTTGCACTGGAAATAATTGTAGGTGCTTTGATACCTGTGA